AAAGTTAAAAAACGTGGTGTTATTATTTCTGTAAGAATAAGATACATCAATCAAACCCATTTCCTTTGGTTTACATTTTATATTTATGATAATATTCATAAAAAAAATATGGTGATTATATTTTCACTGGTTGCAATAACCAGTTACTACGTCCAATTTTATTTTTGAACATAACTGGTTATTGCAGCCAACTAATTAACAAAATATTTTATTGTAGTCAAGAAGTCCTCTATTATTAGTATGTACGTTAAATAATAATCATCATAGAACTCCAACAAACAATAATAAATTATTAATATTATAATAAAATAACATTATTTATTTTATACTATGTAAAAAAAACTAACTATTTATACCTGGTTATTGCGACGAAAAGAATATCAAAACTTAAATAGAAGTGTTGGGAGCATCAACCAGTTACGTCCGGACGTATTTGGTTTTGGCGGCCAATCTGTTTATTGCACCCAACAGAAATTTAAACAGTACAGTGGGGTCGGGGCATAGTGGGGACGGAGAGGTCACAGGTCTACAGATTTTATTATAACTGAAAGTGATATCACTTTTAAATAAATGCTTCGATGCGAATCTGTGGATAGTAAGTTTAAACCAGTTATAGCGGTTTAGAAGATATCGTGGGACCAGCAATAATGTACTTAAAATTTAATAATTAGTCTTGTGCATACGATGGTGGGTACGATAAGGGTTGATCGTCTGTCAATAAAAATGTACTGTCATAGTTACCCATACATCGTAATTAACAATATAATAAAAATATTTTCATTACCTGTTGACTGTTGATTCACTTGCACATAGCAACCTAGAACTGACTACGGCCTAAGTGTAAATTTACCCTATTTTTGGGGTTTTTCCTTAATAAAAAAAAAATGTTGCTACAGGTTTTGAGAAAATTGTATATGTTATAGTTCCATTTTAGATCTACCTTCGGTCTAATTTTCAGATCTAAATTTTTAAAACTTTGCTTGAAAAAGTACAATAAAGAAAAAAATGCTATCCCTTCTAAGGGAAAGGGTTTATGATATTTTGTGGTTTGTTAATGTTTATCCATAGTACTATGTTTGGAGAGCCATTCATATAAATTTGGAACATTTTCAACTATTTTTAAAAAAGTTATAGGTAGAGCACCGTAATTTTAAATTGAAAAATTTGTAAACTTTTTGGGTGTTTTTCTCGATTTTGATGGGGAAGGGGTGACTTTTTAAAATTTTTGACCCAATAGAGTACCTTCCAGGTATGATTTTTGATCTATAGAGTTGCTACACAAAGAAATCGGTTCAGCGGTTTACAAGATATCGTGGGTCCAGGCACAAAAAAAAAATGAATAAATAAAAAAAAATGAAAATAAAAACACATCATTGTAAAAATAATACTTTCTCAGCTCCGCATCGAAGCTAAAATTAGTTTATTATTTTATTTCAATACTATTCATTGGACGCATTCGGTTGTTGCACCGATCGATAAAGATTTTTTTTCTCAATATTTCTGTATCAAAACATGATTTTGAAAAAATGTGGACATACCGGGTTATTCAACCGGGGCATTCAATTAGTTTGGTATAAAAAAAAATCCCATGACTGCATAAATATATCTTTTATTTTGATTTATTTCGATCTCCCCCTCTCCCAAATAAGCTGAACTTGAGTGGAGGTGAACAACGTCTATTTCACAGTGCCGCGGAATAAGAATCCAGTACCTTAAGAACCAAGTTCGACGTCTTATACCACTGCGTCACACACATTTTGGTTCACACGTAGTATATTCAACTAACAATAAGTGGCGTGGAGGATATTTGTAAAGGTGAAGAAATTGGACTTATATTATACTATAATACTGACCAATTTTTTATAAGAAAGCATGGGCCAATTCTGAAGAAAAAAAATATTTCCTAAAATTTCCGTAAAGCTGTAGCCTTAAAATAACTTTATTTAGTAAGCCACTAAATAAAAATGTCTATTATATTATTATGATATTACTTACTAATACAATATAAACCTACTAGGGTATTTTAAATTATAATAAATGCAATGTTATTTAAATGTTAAAATGTTAACATTTGTTGTATAACTAGCGTCAAAACTAAGCAAAAGTTGAAAACGATACAATTATTTTATTACTTTCAAAGTTCTTACTTGTTATAATGTGTAATCACAAAAGTAAATTAATTAAAAAAATAAATGTCTTACTACATCAAAATATGTTGCTTCTAGTCATACAGTGCCAATATTGTGGTGGTCTAACTTTTTACTGTGCTAACTTAGGACACATTTTTATGTATTATATAAAAATATGTTATAATTATATACTATAACTCATATCCCTGAAAGATAAGAATTTATTTATTTGTTTTACAAAATAAGTTATCATTTGTAAAAACAGCATTCTTAAAAAAGTTAAAATACAAATAAATATTGTAATTAAACATTTTGCAATTTTTAATTATTACAGCCAGTCAAATAGGAAACAAGAGGTTTACGATTAGAGACAAAAAAAATGTTCTGATTTGTAACCCCCGAAATCGTAATATTAATATTAGGTTATTATATTGTATACTCTATAGTCGATACGTCTTTAAAACATTGTAAGTGTTCAGAAGTACATTTGTTTAAAAAATAATTATTTATTCGATCCAAAAAAATATTTTATAATTCAAATAAATAATACTACAAGTCAATATGAAATAAGTAAATAAATTATCGATTTATTTTTAAAAAAATACGTTAAATATATATATACGACCGTAACATACCTATAAAATGTACTTTGTGCATTATTGCCTTATAAAACTAATAAGTGAGGTCAAAACGAGTTTAAATTGTCGTTTTACACATAATTTTTCTATTTGTAAATTGAACAGCTGAGTAGATAATAGGATAATATTCCTCAACTTAAAAATTAAAATTAAAGAAAACTGTTTATTTTCTATATGAATTATATAATTCCTACTATAATTATTTATAAATGAAGTTTCAATGGAATTCATAATACACTCATAATGTGAGTCATAAAATAATTGTTGGTGTTTTTTTAATCCTTTTCCATTCGGCTCTTTAATTAATAATAAGCATTTGATCAATGAACATGATTTTCCGAAATACTTTTCTCCCTATATTTCTTATTATTAATTAAATGTATTTTCAATCTTTAAATCATACTATTTAGCCACAATCACTGAAAAAATAAATTAAAAGATTTTAAACTATCATCCTTAATATGCCCTCATAACGCATCAGAACTTATTCAATTACTGCCTTGACATCCATATTTTTTATGAACGCCAAACATTATAATTTGAAAAGCCGATCAACGAAGCATAAAAGATACAAGTATCTCGTTTAAATTAATATATTTGTATATTTAAAAAAAACTTCTCTAATCCGTCTCGTTAAATTACCCAACTTATCTATCAACGCAAGCATTCCTTTATAACTGATACAACAAATTTCTATAATCTAGCTTAAAACATATGTTAATTCTTCTCAAAAGAAACACGTATAAAATGTAACAGACTGTACCAATAAATAGCTTCTAATATATTTTGCTGTCTCAATTATTCACTTGTCGTATCCGACCAATAAAAAGCTTCATTTGATTGCTGTTTATTAAAAAAATACAATAAATTTTACATATCTCCTCCTCCTTAGAAAATCTAGTTTACAGTCCTTTTAAAATCTCATCTATTGTGGGCTGTAGCACTTCTTTGGAAACATACGCCTTCTTTAAAAGTTTTAAATTAATTAAAAAAACTAGCCAATGGTAAATCCAATGAATTCTAAGTTACCAATATACCATGTTATCGACAACAAACGACTGCAAAAGGTTTAAATTATAAATTGCATCAATGCAACCCTTAAAACTAAAATAATTAGCACAGATTTTCTTCTTGGTGTTCTGTAAGAAAAGGCATCTAAGACATTAGATAACTCAGCGTTTGTTAAGACTTCCAATATTTTAACTACAACACGAATCATATCACCATAGCTTTTTACTTTTACATCAGCTATCCTGAAAAACTTGGTATATTAGTCTTTCTACTTACAAAAACAATTATTAATATTTGAACCGAACTGGTCTTCTCTAGCAAATTCTTTTCAATAGACTGAACATACAAAAACAGATCTACCAGAATACAGCATAGCTTTCTCTTGAAAAGGAGACGAATACAAATTTTGTTTCCTCACACTACATATATCGATGTACAGATTAGTAAATAGCTTTGTGGTGTTCAAATATAGACGAAGATTGATGTAGAAAATCTATCAAACGTAGATTTATTAGAAGTAAGGACTTGGCCAGTTCTAGTGGAAAGTTCATCTGGGCCAACCCCCCAAACCAATCTTTAGGGTGTCACCCGTGAGCTATTACCAGTTCATTCATGGCTAAGAATTATACTATTGATAAAACGTAGACCACTATTATATTAGCTAGATGGGTAATTAATAATTATTATTACACTAATTTCTTAAATCTAGGCGCTACACGGCTATTATTATTTCATAGGTGTATTTTGTGTTTGGTTTCCAGATTAGTTGTCGAGACCGCGTAACCCGTTTATACAATTTCTATTTCGATAAACACGCGATTAACGGTGTACGCGTATGTGTGCACAAGCGATATGTTTTCTTATCACTAGCTAAACGTTTAAGGCTAGGTACTACTACTACTACAACTACTATTATTTTTACTATAATAGGTAATAATAATAATAATAGTAATCTATACATCCAATCAATATATTATATATATATATATATATATATAATATAATTGTAATAAATAGGTACCTACATATTATAATAATTTTCCCTGTAATTACTATTTATATACACGAGAGACAGTAAGTGGTGCGTGCAACCATAATGCATTGTAATAATACTATCGTTACTGCTATTATAGTTTTTTTTTCTTTTCTATTTTTATTAAAATATAATATTATCCTACTATAAATAAAATTATTTAAACTCACCCGGAGACAACGTTCGTACCGGTTTTTTTTGAGCCCGTCGATGAGAAGCGAGACCCACAGGAAAACCAATGCTGCGGCGAACGACGAGCGACGCGGTACAGCGACGGTGAACGTGTGCCGCACGGCGTGCGCGTGCGAGGCGAATGCGTTCCGTCGTCGTCGATTAGCCCAACGCAACGGTAGCTGGCGACAGCCAATACCGTTTTGGCGGCAGATAACACTAAATTATCATTATGGCGTACTATAAACGGCGATTAATGAGTGTTGATTATTAAAACATAACCAAAGACAATGTATATGTATATGTATAATATATATTATTTTTGTTATAATTATAACTATTACCGCCATCACATGCATTAAATGGGTAAGTAAGTACCAGTTACCATGTGTGTACCTCGAGTGTACTTGAGTGACATAACAATCGAGTTTATCTAGTATAATATCCTATGCTCGATTGTTGGTTTGTGTGTGTTTTGTCTGTTTCAAGTCCGCACTGGTGTTGTTGCGTTTTTTTTGTTCTCGAGTACACGGATAATCCACACAAGATACGAGTACCTAACTCTACAGCAGCTGTACACACCGAAACGGGATGTAGGCAATTAGCGTGATAATTCGATAGAAAATAATAATTATACCGATATTACCATAAAATACCAGTATTAATATGTAATATTTAAGTCACTTTTTTTCTTTTTTTTTTTTAACAGTAAGTAGTATTTAAATACTCATAATATATATTTTTCTCATCATTCGATTTTTTTAGGCGCTTTAACAAGGCAATTATTGACCACAGGAAACAATAAGAAATGTTTAGGGAGTACGTTATGGTAACAAAATTGTAAAACCAAATCTTACGACTTAAATTCTGATAAGCTTAAAAAGAAAAATCTATACTTCAAGAGCTTAGGTACACCCAGGGTCAAGACAAATCTGAATTTTTATATAATTTAACCACAACCCTAATATTAAATTAAAAAATATTTAGGTGTACCAACATTAAATATATGAAAATCTAGAGTGATTGTTTGGTAAAAACCTAAATTCTTAATTACTATTGTTATATCCTTAGGCCTTGTTGTACCAACGACATTGCAGAGCTGGTAGGCCTCGCTCCGCTGCAATAACGAGAAAACAAAATAAGCATTATGTCCACAGCTGACCACACAAGATTAACTTAAATGGCAATTAATAATTCGTTTAGGAACCTAATTATTAGTAAATGTTTAATATGTAAAATTCATCCCATTTAAAGTTTTCTTCACTTCGCTTCGCTTTAAATAATAATAATAATAATATATAATTAACACCCCGAAGGCAATAGTGTAACATACAAATAAATAAATTACAAATTAAGAATTATAAACGGTACCAATAAAAGAAAATAACACAATTTTTATAATAAACGTTACCAAACAAAATATATAAAGAAGACATTAATTAAATGATTAAGTATAAATGGGCCTAAATCAGTTATGGGTTAAAGCCAATTTTAAATGAAGAAAAGAGTCATGGACGATTTCAAAAGAGGGAGGTAAGTTGTTGCAAGCAATACAAATACGGTTAATAGGGGAGAAAAAACTATAATTTTGGCGGTGGAAACTTACATGGAAGGTTGGACGCGAGCGAGAATTGTAGGAAGGAATATAAAATGCAAATTTACTCAGGACTTCAGGACTATCGATAACATTGTTAAACAACTAGTGAATAAAAATTAAATCATTTAGCTTACGTCTGTGTGCGAGCGTATCAAGATTTAATAAAGAGAGAATTGTATTTCTATGCTCAGTTTGCATATTAAATTTAAAGCTTACTGTACGCAAAAAACAGTCTTGGACACGTTCTAAGTCGTCAGTAAGTCCACTTTGGACTGGATTCCACAGTATGGAGGCATACTCTAAAATTGAACGAACTAAACTAATATACAGAGTTCTGATGCACATTAAACTTGAAAAATTATAACAATTTCTCCTAATGAAACCTAATGTTTTTAAAGCTTTATATTTTATATTTTTAACATGCTGATTAAATGATAAATCATAGGAAAAATAAACACCAAGATCTTTCAGCTGTGTAACATTATGTAAAACTCTGTCATTAATAAAGTATTGGGCTGAAGTAGGGTTATGGCAACAGGAAAACGATATTTTCATACATTTTTCCGCATTTATTGAAAAACCATTATTCATGCACCAGGTTACAAAGTTATTTAAATCATCCTGGAGTTTAAAACAGTCAGCCTCAGATGTAATTTCCGTGTATATTTTTAGGTCATCCGCAAACATTAGACATTTGCAATGGTTAAAAATATTTGGGATTTTATTAACAAACAATAAAAACAAAATTGGTGATAAATGACCCTCTTGTGGTACACCTGAACTAATATTAATTACGTGGGATACTTTAGAAGCTAATTTTACTTGCTGAGTTCGATTGGTTAAATATGATTTTAACCAGGATAAAAACGGGTCTCTAATACCTAATACACTAAGTTTAGTTATTAACAAATTATGATCTACAGAATCAAATGCTTTTCTCAAATCGGTATATATACTATCAACTTAGCCACCTTTCTCAACAACTGAAATGAAATCAGTATAATATACTAGTAAATTAGTTAAGGTAGATTTACCAGGTTAAATAACATTTAAACTAAATTTGACGCATTAAAAACAAATATAATACTTCAGCTGTGATTTACACAAATGCACCGATAATTCATACGCAACAAATTTGCTTTCAAAATTATTGTTTACAAATTAAATTATCTAATGCATTCATATATACTTACATTTTATACATTTTTTAATAGTTTCGAAGCAGAGTTGATATAGAAGACGTCGGTTTTACAGTCGCTAATACAAACAAAGTTTTTTTTTCGATTTTAAACTTCAGTGTACAACCACAAACTGTCAAAATAAAAGATACTTTAAAAACACTATTTGCATGACGAATCATCTACTAGTACTATAATTACTAATATGTAAATAAATAATAGAATAATAGTATTTATAATTAATTTTTATTAATTAACTTAATTAAAAACACTCTAAGTTTTATTTTATTCCAATAATTACTATAAAGTTTTGACATAAACAGCATGGAGTAAAAACTTATTAGAATTAGAATTCTCAGTTCTCACTAGCTCGAGTTCATAATATTCTATTTTATTTATGTTGACATTCCCTATTATCCCGGTGTCACATCAAGTCGACTGAGTTCAAGTGACATTACATCTACAACGGTAAACTTTTATTCATTATATATTTTCGCGTTATATACATTATTAAGTTGATTAAATGTCAGTGCAGAGAATATTTCAAAAACTTAATTCAAAGTAGGGCAGTTTAGTCAACCGTCTTTCTCTGAATTATACAACCTATATATTTTCAAACCAACGTCAAAAACAAATACAAATTATTTTTTTGGTATTTGTCATCCACAAATTATCAAAATATATTTAATGCGTTAGCAAATTATTTATAAAGCCTATAATAACTCATACGCAAATGGAATATCACAGAAACAATATATAGTTTTTTCTTATATTAAACCTATATTTGTATTATAATTTATATAACTAATAATTACATAATACAAATTAAAAGCAAGAATAATTATCATTGTGTTTTACAAATTTACCAATTAAAATGCAGGTTTAGAGCAAAAAAGATCTATGAACTTTTAGAGGCGTGCAGTGCACATCACAGTGCACATCACAATCGTCAAAAAACAATAGTACAGACTACGGAGTACGTACTGTTTACTTACTTACTTATGTTAAATGTATACGTTTGACGGTATTTTCATAATTTATGTACATAAATCAACAATATAACTTAATAATAATAAACAAAATAGCCAGTACATCAGGTTAGAGGTAAAGAGGGAATAACATGTTTTAGGATGGGGAAGTCACAGATCTTTATGAGTTATTACAACTGAAACTGGTAAAATCGCTTGTCTCTCTATGATAATTTATTGCCGTTGTTACCTATACATCGTAAACTATATGGATTAAAACACTAAATAGGTACGAACTAACATTTGGAGTGGCCACCTTAGATTTTTTTTGAAAATTACACTGCACACGAAAATAAATAATGTTTCAAATTTTGTTTTGATTTTTTTTTCGATTATTTGGTCATGGTCGTAAAAATTATTTTCAGTTTTTTTCTTGACACTTCTTTCTTATAATTTTTTTATAGTATCTTTGACCATCAAAACAAATTATTAAAAATGAGTTTCCTATGTAAAATAATCTTAGCTTTCTGAAAAAAAAAAATGTATTTATTTTTTCGAGTAATAGAAAGATATTTAAATTGAGTTTATAATCTAATAATATAGTTTTCTTGTGTTGCCCAAAATTTGAGAATTTTTCTAATATTTTTTTCAGAAAGTTGAGATAATTTACACAAAATGTGTAAATTTTAAATTGGGTTCTCCATAAAAACGCGCAGAAAAACAAAAAAAAAGGTGAAATAACAACCACAGTACTTAAAATAGTTTAAATAATTATGTGTAAAAATAAGATAATTTTCCGTTTTTTCGACTTTTCTATAAAAATGTTTCTTTTGTTGTTCTGAGCGTTTTTATCGATATTTTTCAAAAAGCTGAGATTATTTTTACACAATAAACTGATTTTTTATCATTTTTACTACGCTATCTGTCTCGGCAGTCTTATAAAGTTTCAACTGCGCCTTTTAACTGAAGTCAACTGATTCGGCAATCCGGCTAGATGCTGTATGACTATAATACTGTAATCTATTCAACGACGATGTTTTTAAAAATATTTAAAATTTTGGCTTACTTTTAAAATTTCTTACAGAAACAGTTATCAAGATTATTAATAATAATTAATTTGTTAATGAAATATAAACACTGAAATGTAACATTATAGACTAGGAGGATTGTATGTAGTACAGGATATTTTTTTTCCTTTTTTTTTTTGAGGTTTATTATTGCAATACGGAGAGGCGCTTTACCCGGCGGGCCATACTTCCCTCAGTATCTGCATCATTTATTGTTAACATAAATGAAACACAGCAAATACAATTAACAAATATGTTACGATAGAGGGCTCTATCCCTCTAACTTTGCCTTCGGCTACA